GTTGGTGTATCCAGCTTGGAGGATGGAATGACTCTGCCCAGTTCCAAAGACAAAAGTGACACTATGGGCAGATGTCCTTTGGAGGAGGTTCTGCTGTACTTGTCGACCTAAAAAACTTCTCCTTTACAATGTGCTTCCACCATCCACCAGTGCTGTAACGAACATAAACTGCACTCACCAGATACTGGTGAATTGCACGCCTTTTAGGGATCCCTTCTTTTCAGTCTCCAGGACTCCACACCACCACATAGGGCTTTAAGTTTTCCTTCCACTCCCTCCCGATTTAGCCTTCCAAACCAGCAAAAACATATATAGCGTAATACTGCTAATAACCTCATACACTGCCGTGGAGCTGGTTTGGAAGGCTAAATCGGGAGGGAGTGGAAGGAAAACTTAAACTTTAATGCTGACCATATGCATATATATGACCATGGGCTTTAACACTGCACTGCCACATATACATATGGCCAGTGTTCCCTACTTGTGCTAAGTGTGTGCTTGCATGGTGCATTGGGAGCCAGTAGGGTGGCCAGCCACAGTAGTCACATGACTGGGAAGTCCATGTAGTGCCTCCAGTGCTATACACTGAGAGCCGACTACCGATGGTTAGAAATTGTTAAAAGTATATAACCAAAGGCAAAACCTCCTTCCTTTTCTTTTTCTTTTTTTTTTTTTTTTTTTCTCCCCCCCCCCAGATAGAGTGGAGTTGGATTAGAACACCTGGTTGGGTTTTTATTGTTGTCTGGACTCCTGATATGGATTTTCACCCTCATTTGTTAGGTTTACCATTATCACCAAAAGATTGAAAGTGAAAGAAAACTGGAGCCTGTCTCTAAAGCAGGAATAGAGGGGAAATCTTTCAGTAGGGACACTAGTTCTGGTGACAACCAGGAGTTTCCTCACTCTTGAGGGACTTCCTCTCACTTTGTTTTCAGCTATGGGACAGGAAGTAAAGGAAAATCTCACCATTGGGACACAGATGGCATAAAGGTATAGGGGCTATAGCCCTGCCATTTAGTTCTGCTTTAGTACACTAAACATATCTGTCCCTAAATGTCTATATAAACCTCCAATAACTAGAACGGTAAGAATGTTTGTTTTTATGATTGATGTATTCCTATTTATGATGTGTGAATGGCAACAGATAACAGTGTGAGTTTCTTGCAAAGGTGGAATACACTTTAAAAGAGACTTCTGCAGTTTTGCACACTTGAAAAATGTATCTTGGATTATTATACAAATTTGCATTAGATTACTAAACTTTAGAAATGTTCCTTTTTTTTTTTTTTTTTTTTTTTTTTTTTTTTCCCCCTTAGGTTATCTACGATAGACGAATCTGGCTCTATCCTGTCTGACATCAGTTTTGACAAGACAGAGGATTCTTTGGTAATGAGCTCACTGTAGAGAAAGATGCAGGCTCTTAAAATCTTAATGGGAATTATAAAAACTGTAAGAACTGTACATTTTGTAGGTCATTCTGTAATGACCAGGCAGCTAATTACTGAAGAACTGACATTCTGCTTTATTCAGGAGACTGCTACAAAACTCCAATGAAGGCACCTAAATGAAAGCTTTACCGTATTACCAGTGACATGTACATTTTATGCTAATTTGGCTGTTTCAGTTCTTAAAAATTACAACCAATTGTAGCCATTAGATTTAACCTAGATAGTGTTAACCCTTTCCTTCAGTTGTATGGCTTCCTATTTGAGACACCTACAGTATACGATTTGTGATATGTCAGCAGTCAAAGGTTTGAACAAATCCTTTAGTAAGAAGCTTTATTACCTGCCATTATTGGCCACCTTCTAAAGTTCATTCTTTTATAAATCACTGGCCTAGAAAAAGTATGCGCCAGTGAAGTCAGAACACCTGATTTATGTACTTTTTCAATGTCGGTGACTAAAAATTATTGATAACTCGTGATACCCACGTAGCTATTTTTATGACAGGAGCACAATGGCAGTCTGTATATTTCTGCAACATTTGTGGTTGTATACAAATAGATCTATAAGAAGTGATAGAAGGCTAGGGCCACATATAACAACCTGTATTCTTAAGTGTACAATAAACTCGAATATGCTCATGGCAAACATTTCTTGAAAACGGGGCTCTTTTGGTTTGTATTTATTTTTGCTTTGTGTGTGTATTTTTATATTTTAGCGTGTGTACTGTATATATTGCAGTTTTTTTTTTTTTTCCTCTCAAGCCTTTCCCTATTCTCCCAGTCAGATGCCTAATGCTTACCTATTCATAAAATACTTTAGTGATGTGTCACTGGGGTAAAATTGTATGTGATCACACCATAAGAGTTTGGTGAAGGTCAGTGTCCATACTTGATTCTGTAGTTTGTAGGTTTTGGCAATCTGCTTATTGAGTGTGTAGGGAATGATGAGAGGGGGATTGCATGTATACAGCTGGGGTTCGGGACCATTATCAATCTAATTTAAAAATGCAAATTGTTCTAGAAATATTGGCGTAACCGCGTGCTGGGGGTTCAAGTAGACCATACCTCCTGTATGTATTGACACTGCCTTCCTTTTTATGAACAGATGTAGTGTTTAATGGATGTAAATATGCAAAGTGGTAATTTCCTGCTTGTAATTTTTTTTTTTTTTATTCAAGGACTGGGATTCATCTCTAGTGAGAAATGTGAGGCTGAAGAAAAGAGAAAAACGGGTATGGAGATCTTCAATGAGAGTTCATGCACTTGGCAAAAATAATACAGTAACCTTACTGAGATTTTCTTTCTTTATTGTAGCGCTCTTCTAGGCAGCAAGTGGAAGGTCCTCCTGTTCCAACAAAGCGAACGCGTTCATTTGGATTAGCTGCTGTTGATCCGGTTAGTCAGACATGAACTTTGCAGTTAATTGTGTGTGTGTGTGTTGGTGCTTTTATTGATTATTAAAGTGTTTGCTAAACCCACAACAGTAAAATCAGTCTGTATATGCAGTAACACATGCTTGTTATACGCACTGTGGAACCTAAGGGGTCAATCCTCCACATTGTGTAAAAAGGCTGTTTGATCCTGTCTTCTCTGATCCTCCCCTTCTTCCAGTCCCCAATCCATCTGCTGATAGTACAGAGCCCTAGGAGGCACTCTGCATATATTCTGGTGTGTATTGCTAGGGTTTTTTTTTTTTTTTTTTTTTTTTTTTTTTTTTTTGAGAGTACATGTGATCAGCACAATGCCAATCAGCACTGTCCAGACAGGGTCAGGGGTCATGCAGCCTCATAGGACAGTGAGAGGGAAAATGAATACTCCTCCAAGCTTTAACCAGTGCTCGGCTGGACACTGATAGAAGTCACATAACTGCTGTATACTGCTGAGAAAAGGTATTTAGCAGAATCTATTTACTAGAAAAAAAATTTGTCTTTCCATGTTCTGTTGTCTGTGCAAGGCCAGATATAGTGAATGCAGGATCATGGGTTTAGTAACACTTTAACTGAAGATGCCATAGCATTTACAGTGTGATACTCGCCCTCTGTAGATGCTTTAAACATTTGATATATTGGTACTGTTGATTTTTCGAGAATTGGGGTGTTTTTTTGGGGTTAGACTGACGGAGTGTCAGCTGACTGCATAGAATCTAATAAAAGAAAAAAGCTTTTATACTTTGTGTAACTGTTAGGCATAAAATGATTGAAAACACAACATTTGGGCTAACTAATGTCTGTAGCCACCTGAAACCAAAAATGTTACATACCCCGTACGTATAGTCTGTTAGGTCTGCATCCAGGATTTTACACGTGCAAGTTTTAGACAAGTGCTGGTGTAAACACTCGTATAGCAACATAAAGCCATGCATTTCCATTGGAGGCTGTAAGCTGCATCTGTGGCTACCTTATGCTCCGTGTACACTGCACACCCTCTTGTATTCATGTGCATGAAACCAAAGCAGCTGATTGCACATGGTGTGAGTCCTTAAAGTGTTTATAAAGCTTTTTGTTTCTGATAGTACAGAGCCCTAGGAGGCACTCTGCATATACTCTGGTGTGTATTGCTAGGGTTTTTTTTTTTTCTTCTTGGAGAGTAAGTGTTACTATGAAAAAAAAAAACAAGAACATGTTATACGTACCTTGGATGGATTTGCACAGAGTAGCCCCAATCCTCCTGCCTGTCCTTTGGGGCTCCACTATCTCCCCCCTCCCCCACCAACCAAGTACCCCCATAACAAACCACTTGGAGACACTCGTGTGCTGTTTCCCATGTCCAGCTCTGTGTGTCCATAAGACACACATAATAGGGTTTGGCCCCGCCCTCTACATCTCGTGACTTGCTCTGACAACATTGGCAATGGCTCCTGATGCTGTATCTGAGTTAATGAGGAGCAAGAGAGCCTTGACTCTCCTGCACATTGTTGGATTGAGATTGGGCTCACGTATGTATTTAGGGGCTGCGGGGAAAGCTGCATGCAGGTTTTCCCCCAACCCCCCCCCTAGCATTTCTGGCCATGGCCATCTTTAGTAAGAGGCAGATGATTCATGTAGCATTTATTTCCTAAAATTCATCTGCCCTTAGCTCAGGTATGCAGGCAGGAGGGTGTGCTTAGCTGAGAAAACACCCTCCTAAAGACTCCTGGGATGTATGACCTGATTTGCATAGACCTGGAAACCAGAAAGTAACTGAAGAAATATTTAAAAAAAAAAAAAAAAGTTTAAAACCAGTAGATATGATATACTTTCCTATCTATTTATTAATGTTAGCAGGATAAGGATTAAAAATAGCTCATGTTGCTTGAGAGTAAAGTTTCACTTTATATTTCACCAAGAACTAGATGCATGTTTGAATATTTCTTTCTTGCATGCCCCAGGCATGCTCCAATCTATCTCTCTATACATCTACACTAATGCACAAGATATGTAGAAGAAAAATTTGTTCTATAAGCTTTTTAATTAAAAAGTTAAAATTGATTCAAAACCATTTTATAGTCCCCCTTGAGATCAAATTGCATCAGTGCATTGTTATACTTGGTATTACATTTTTACATCTTATATAGGCCAATGAGTCCATAATAACTAAAACGACAGTGACCGTTCCAAACAATGGAGGTGTTATTGAAGCCGTGTCAACCATTGAGGCTGTGCCATACTATACACGCAGCCGCAAGACTGGTGAGTTTGTGTTTATTTTTTATGTGTGTGAGATTGATGCATACATGGTTTATAATAGCTGTAATTCCTTCTATCAGCTCAATTGCAGCCATGGAGTAGTGACTCTAGTTTGATGAGACCAATTGATGAGAGACATGAGGCTGACTGCTGTAGAACCCCACAGCATCAAGGAATAAGACTTCATGAATTTGTCTCTAAAACAGTGAGTGTAATTCAAAATAAACTTTAATTCTTCTGTTCTGCCTTTCCTGTCCATAAAACGTAATCTTCAAATCTTAGGTAATAAAACCAGAATCATGTGTTCCCTGTGGAAAGAGAATCAAATTTGGGAAATTGTCCTTGAAGTGTCGGGACTGCCGAGTTGTGGCCCACCCAGAGTGCCGGGAGCGCTGCCCTCTTCCATGCATCCCTACATCAGGGAACACTCCAGTCCGTATCGGAGAGGTAGAACCCTTTCAAATATTTGTCATGTCTATTTTCAGGACTGTCTGCTTTAAAACTCTAGGCAAACTCAACATCACTTTTGTGAATTGAAAACTGATTGAGTTTAATTCTCCTATCCTGTCAACTTTATCAAATTTTTATATGAATTTGTGGATTGTAGTCGTGATTGTTTAAACATCAGTTCGCTAACCAGTTTTCTGTTTTGTAGGGCACTCTTGCTGACTTTGTTCCATCAACTTCCCCAATGATACCCTCAATAGTTGTTCACTGTGTCAGTGAAATTGAGCAGCGGGGACTTCATGAGGTAAGGTGTACTGTGTCAGTGCATTGAAAGGCAACCTACTGTGTATGCTTTAAAAAATTTTCTGTGAGCAGCATACTTGCATATTTCTGCAACTGTTTGTTTTGTTAGGCAGGCAGTGTGCATTTGGAGCCGTGCTCCCACGCGGCTGTCAACGAAAAACACCTGTGCATCCCCATGCAGGCTATAGTACACCCATATGAATGAGTCCTTTAAAGCAGTAGTAAACTCAGCTTGTTTACACCTACAGGCATGCCTATAATAAGACTTACCTGAAGGCACAGTAAATATCTCCTAAACAGTACACGTTTAGCAGATATTTACTTTAGTAGCAGCAGGTGATGTCACAAACGCATGTGCACTGCACTCTCAATAGGTGGCATGCTGTCCATTGAGAGTGCTCTGCATCGGCCATGACTCCCATGCACATGTGCAGAAGTGATGTCATCGCGGCTCAGCCGTTCAAATAGCTGGAGCCTGCGAACCTGAATGAAGGATCGGGTGAAGATGGAAGCCCTATCCGCACGCAACTGGAGGGCTTCGTTCTAAGTTTTCCATAATGTGATGCATACTTGCACATATTATGCTCTTCATTTGCAGGGGGAATTTTGTTTTTTTTTAATTTCCTGTGGTTTTCTACCGCTTTTAAGAGGAATGAGGGTTTCTTCCTGTACTCCTTTTTAAAGTTTCTGGTTGCATAGGGGGTTATTTACTAAAATGGCATGATGCAGAATATGGTGCAGCTCTGCACAGAAATCAATCAGCTTCCAGATTTTGTCAAAATCTAATTGAACAAGCTAAAGTTAGATGCTGATTTCTGTGCACAGCTGCACCAGATTTAGTATATCTATCCCATAGGCTCATGGCATGTTTTCAATTCTTTTAGTCGCTGACCTGAAGCTAGTATGACAATATGGCGGTTGGTTGGCTGTTCAGCACAATTAAGGGCCATTCACACTAATTTTACAGTAACAAATGAAAAGTGGTGTGTTGCTTTTTTTATTTGACTGATTTATTTTTTAGAGCGGTAGTAAACTCAAAAATAAAAAAACTCCCCTGTAAGGCAATATTATTATGTGCTAGTATGCATCGCATACTAGCACATTGTGAAATGCTTACCTTAGAAGGAAGTCCTCCAGCGGTGATCTGACACCACTGACAGGGCTTTCATCTTCCCCTGGTTTTCCTTCTGGGTTCACGAGTTCCAGCTGTCTGACTGGTCAAGCCACAATGTCACTCCCGCACATGCACACGGGAGTCTCAGGCCATGCACAGTGCTCTGAAGGAATGGCATGGGTATGCCGTTCCTTCACAACGTATGCTCCAGCTGCCAAAAACAGCAAATATGTCCTAAACGGTGCACGTTTAGGAGATATTCATTTTACCTACAAGTAAGCTTTATTATATTTATTTATTAGATTTATTATAAGTTTCCCTGTAGGTAAAACTCATAAAGCGGACTGTACTACAGCTTTAATGGCATCCTAACACTCCTAGGCAATGGGTAGGTGTAAACCCTCTAGTAGTGGTAGGCTGCTTTAACATACTCAAGTATCGCACTTTACCATAGCATGTTAGGTGTTGATGGGCCCCTAACTCAGGAATTAATGGAGAAAAGTATTTAGAATGCAACCGTTTCAACTTCAAAAAGTATAATAAAAGGTTTGTATGCCCTAATCATTCTTCCAGTACAAAACTAATGATTTCAGGTGCAGGTCGTCTGTAAATAAACACTGCAAACATTTGACTTGTAACCCGTGTATTGATTGATACTGGACAGATACTGCTGATCCACGCTGAGTAGTAGCTTTAGTGTTAGATTTTGTGCATGTTTAAACAACTTGTCTGTGTATAATATGATCACCCCCCCCTTTTTTTCCCCCCCCCACCTTCTTAGACTGGTCTATACAGAATTTCTGGCTGTGATCGTACAGTTAAAGATTTAAAGGAAAAGTTTCTGAGAGGGAAGAGTGTTCCTTTACTCAGTAAAGTGGATGACATTCATGCAGTGTGTGGTTTTCTCAAAGACTTTCTTCTTCGCAACTTGAAGGAGCCATTGCTCACTTTCCGTCTCAATAAACTCTTCATGAATGCAGCTGGTGCGTATTCTATTCTTCTTCTTTTTTTTTTTTTTTTTTTTTTTTTTTGTATTCTGTTTGTTTCTGGCAGCTGAATCAGTATAACCATTTTTTTTAGTATAGGATTATTCACATGCACAGTTTGTGGTCTGTTAGAGTTCCGAAATAGAGTTTGCAGATCCCAGACCTGATAGATAAACTGGTCTAAGGGTTTTCCCTTTTTTTTTTTTTTTTTCCCTCTCTCCCCCCTTCTCCAGAAATTTCAGATGATGATAACAGCATTGCTGCTATTTATCAAGCAGTTGATGAACTTCCTGCAGCCAACAGAGATACTTTAGCTTTCCTAATGATGCATCTTCAAAGGTTAGTAAAAATGCACATTTTTACATCTCTCTTGATACTCCATTACATTTTTTTTTATTTTTACTGTATGCATTTATGCAACGCTGTCTGTGCTCTGCAGAGTGTCCGACAGTCCAGACTGTAAGATGGGTGTGATCAATCTATCTAAGGTGTTTGGCCCTACTCTGGTGGGTCATGCAGTCTCTGATCCTGACCCTATGACAATACTACAAGATACGAAACGACAACCAAAGGTATGACTCTGAGAACGTCAGCCTAGAGGAAGCACAGTGTATGTTCTGTGAGCACATCTTCTGAGTTGTTTAATGTGCATTTCACATTTTTCAGATCTTAACGTATGTTTGTCTGTCTTCTTAACCACTTCCAGTCCGGACACTTTTACCCCCTTCCTGTCCAGGCCAATTTTCAGCTTTCAGTGCTATCACACTTTGAATGACAATTGCACGGTCATGCAACACTGTACCCCTATTAATTTTTCAGCATTTGTTTGAGACAGATAAAGTTTTATTTTGGTGGTATTTATTCACCACTGGGATTTTTATTTTTTTTTTGCTATGTAAATTAAAAGTCCAAAATGTTGAAAAAAAAATTTTTCTTATACAATTTTGCAAATAAATAGTATTTCAGCATAAATCTTGGCCAAAATTTATTCCGTTATATTTTTAGTAAAAAACAAATAACCCAAATTAGTTTATAACCAAAAAGTTGTTTTTAATTTTTAAACATTTTTGTTTTACATATTTATATTTTTTTTTTTTTGCATACTGTCACCCTAGCAGTACAGTGTCACCATGGTGACACTGTACTACTTGTGGGGGGGTGATGAAGATTTTTTTTTTTTTTTTTTTTACACTGATTGCTTTTACACCCATAAAGGATGTAAAAGCAAAAACTTCTCCTTCTCTATAGCTGCATTCTTACAGCCATTGAGAACTACTGAGTGAGCTGTGATTGGTCACAGCTTGTCACATGGTACAAGGCTGTTGTGAATAGCCTTGTACCATGTGACCTCTGTGATCATTCCCAGATTTCACACCTAGTAAGCAATGATGTCACAAGTGACATCTTGCTTACTACTCTGCATGTGATCACTGATTGGCCAATCAGTGATCACATGATCAGGACCTTGTACAGAGGTCCCGTCCGACGATCGGTGTTCCACTGTGTCCGGAGGACACAGCGGGCATCGGATTGCGGTTCTGCGCTCCCAGGGAGCGCGCACAAGCAGGGGGCGGGGAGGCCATTTATAGACAGCCACCCGACCCTGCACTGCCACCGTCCGGCCGTTTATATGCAACGACCGGACGGGAGGTGGTTAAATAGTAGCAAAAGGGTGCCCATTCCAGAACAGGAAAGTGGGATATTACAACTATCCCACACTTGTCTTCGCTTCAGTGTGTGGCAGGAATTGTTGAAGTGACTTGAAAAGCAGCTTGTGTGTGCAGCATGTCCCTCTTTTCGAAGGGATTTTCCTCCTCACTTTCTGTTTTGGCTATGGAGCAGCAAGTGAAGAGAAATCTTCCCTTTGGCACACAGATGGTAAAAATGACAGGGGTCATAGCCCTTCCTTGCTCTATTCCAAAATGGGGGAAAAAAACAAAAGTTTAGCCTTTAGTTACACTTTAAGGAGAGTGATTTATAGAACAACCAATAGAGCAAGCTCTGCAGTTGCTTAGCTTCCCTTTGCTTGAAAACTGTTGAGGTAAAATATTGACGAAATTGAGACTGAATAGTTTTTGTCTGACTTGAGCTTGTGTTATTAGGAGCACAACCACTGTGCAACACTGAGATTATATGTAGCTAGAAATTATAGCTGTTTTATAAACCTGTTACTGCATAAATGTTTCAAAACCCAGTTCAATGAAAAAGCTGATCTTTTTATATGCAGGTTTAAAAAAAAAAAAATCTTGATAATGCACTAAATGGCAAGCATATGTGTTGCTGATGAGCTTTGCTATATTTTTATCTTAGGTAGTGGAACGTTTGATGTCGTTACCAGCAGACTACTGGAACCAGTTCATGATGGTGGAAAACATAGACCCATCTCACATAATTGAAAATACAAATATTTTTTTAGCACTCCTCAGACTCCTGATGTGA